CCCCACATCCAGGGAAATGAGCAGGAATCAAACCCCACAGCCAGGGAAATGAGCAGGAATCAAACCCCACAGCCAGGGAAATGAGCAGGAATCAAACCCCACATCCAGGGAAATGAGCAGGAATCAAACCCCACATCCAGAGAAATCAGCAGGAATCAAACCCCACATCCAGGGAAATGAGCAGGAATCAAACCCCACAGGGCCTCACCCTGAAGCTTTGGCAAAGTCTCCCCACGCATCACTGGTGGAGGCAGAGGGAGCAGCATTCGGCTGTGGCCACGACAAGAGGGAGTCTGTCAGCACCAGGGAAGTCAGGAAAAGAGAACACAAACACCAGGGGTTATTTCCCACTCTTATTCCCAAATTCCCAGCTGTTTCCCCCATTGTGATGGATAAAACAGAGCCTGAAGAGCTTTACAGCCACCACTGTGTGAGCACAGACCTGTGATGGGGGTGCCTGGGAGCTGGGTGGGATTGGAGAGTGAAGACGGGCGCTCTCCAGAAGGAAGTTTCCCTCCAGGAGGTGGTGGGAGCAAGCTCAGGCCCCCAGGAGCCACAGGCCGGGGTCTGGTGGTCCCGGTTGCTCCTTCCTTTTTCTTCACGTTCTGAAACAAAAGAGGCAAATTTGGGTTTAAATCCGGAGCCAGAGTGCGATTCCTCCCAGGCAGAGCTTCCCAAAGCCAAACCCCTTTATCCTGGGGGGGAAAACCCCGCTCTGCAGCAATATCCCACTGCAAAAGGGGTCAGACCAAGGATGGGTTTATCCTTAAATCCCCACCATGAACCCACAGCCCCACCACCCATAACACAACCAGATCCCTGCCTGCAGCGTTACCATGAAGGGCTCTGCGCAGGCATTTTGAGGACAAGCTGCTGCTTCCTCTTGTTCCACCCAAGGAAAGGTGGGATTGAGCTGGAAGAGCTCCTCACCGCAATGTTCAGTTTGATGGTCTGTCCCTCCTTGAAGCCCAAATCCAGCTTGGGGCCCTGCTCGGGGTTCTCGGCCTGCCTGGCCAGCTCGCTCTGCTGCTTCACCCACCTGCAGCGATCACAGAAGCAGGAAAAGGAGACGTCAGGAACCAGCCTGAGGCTCTCCCGGATCCATCCAGCCCAAAATCACCTCCCTCTGCCTGGCAGCAGCGATTCAGAGCTGCTGGATGGGAGCTGCCACCTTCCCTGCTGGAGCAATGCAGAAGCATCCCAGTGCTGCAGGAGCAGCCCCTTACCGGTGGCACGAGAAAAGAAGGAAGGGAGTTAAGGAATGCGCTCAGTTTTGGATGGGGAAGCCCAGTCTGGGACCCTGCTAATGCAGAGTGGGCAATATCTGAGAGAAGGAAAGCTGCCTGCACAGGGAAACAGGGGTTTCCACCTCACAACACCACTCAAGTGTGCCTCCCACTTCCTCTCCACCACTTCTGGTGAACATCCGCCACAAAAATGGAGCTGAGAAGACACAGGGGGAGGCACAAACTCACTTAAAGTGGTCCTGGAGAGCAACGTTGAAGTCAAAGGCATCCCCTCGGTCAACAAAGCCAACCCCGATGAAAGCACGGCGGCCTGGGAAGGAGGAACGGGAAGGGTTGGAATTGCAAAGCAGCAGAGGAAGAGGGATGGGACATCCCATCGGGCCTGACACCTCCTCCTGCAGGAGCTGGGCCCGTGGAGGCTGAGATAAGGGACTGGGAATATCTTCTGTTTGCTGGCTGCATGGACAGGAGAAGAGAAGGCTCCTGAAGGGGAGACCTTGGAGCAGCTCCAGGAAAGCTGGAGAGGGGCCTGGGACAAGGGCCTGTAGGGACAGGCCAAGGGGAATGGCTTTAACCTGCCAGAGGGGAGACTGAGATGGGCTCTTAGGCAGAAGCTCTTCCCTGTGAGGGTGCTGAGGCAGGGTGAGTAAAACCAGCTTTTACATTCCTATAAGTGAGTGAAAGCAGAGGGAGGCATCAAGCAACAAGATCAAATTGGTTTTAGTTCCTGATAGAGGCCAGAGTGTGTCTGAGCCATGGGAGCGAGAGAACTCATCCCTCTGCCACTGGATGCTGGGAATATTTGGCACTTGAAAGCAAGAATCCACAGATCAGAGCAGTGAGGGCAATGAGGACGTTCTGAGGTGACTCCCCCAACACGTGCCCCATGGATTGGGACGTACCGTTCCCATCTTCGACCCGGATGACAAAGTATCTGCTGGAGTCTGTCACACTCTCCACAGCGATGCCGGGGAACTGCTCCACTGGTGCCTGGGCAAAAAGCTCCCCTGGAAAAATCACAGAACCATGGAATTGTTTCAGTGGGAAAGGACCTCAAAGCTCCTCCAGCTCCAACCCCTGCCACGGGCAGGGACCCCTTCCACTAGAGCAGCTTGCTCCAAGCCCCTGTGTCCAACCTGGCCTTGAACACTGCCAGGGATGGGGCAGCCACAGCTTCTCTGGGCACCCTGTGCCAGCGCCTCAGCACCCTCACAGGGAAGAGCTTCTGCCTAAGAGCTCATCTCAGTCTCCCCTCTGGCAGGTTAAAGCCATTCCCCTTGGCCTGTCCCTACATCCCTTGTCCCAAGCCCCTCTCCAGCTTTCCTGCAGCCCCTTCAGGCACTGGAGCTGCTCTCAGGTCTCCCCTTCAGGAGCCTTTCCTTCTCCAGGCTGCCCCAGCCCAGCTCTCTCAGCCTGGCTCCAGAGCAGAGCTGCTCCAGCCCTCGCAGCATCTCCATGGCCTCCTCTGCACACATCCCCCTGCAGCAGCTGCGCCGAGAAGGGCCCTGATGGATCCGTGCCCTCCTCCCCTCCTTACCCGTGTTCTTATCCTCCAGCTTGATGAAGGCGACGCTGCCCCTGGCCGTGACCCGCATCCTGCCGCTCCACGCCGGCTGCTCCAGCTGCCACTCCGCAGCCCTGGGGGATGCGGAAAGAGCCCATCCAGACCCACGGCAACATCCCCATGGCGCCCACCTGCCTCAGCAACGCCACCGACAGCCCCCGTGCGCCCCTGCAAGGAGCCGGCTCCTCCGGACCCCTCTCGTTTCACCCCAGCAAGAGGTTTCGCTTCCCCTTCCGCAGCGGGACAGCAGCTCCTTGGGGCTGCAGGGCCCCGCCTGCCCCACTGCCCTCAGGGGCAGCCCCCGAGCACCCCGCGGGACCCTCTGCGGGGACCGAAGCAGCGGGGTCGGCGGAGGCCCCACCTGTACCCGCGGTTGGAGGCCCGCGGCGGCAGGCGGTAGACGTGCACGGCCGGCTTCACACACAGCACGGCCTCGTAGTCCTCCTCCTCCTCCTCCGCCGCCGCCATCGCGGCGCCGCTCTGCCCCGCCGCCTCCATGGTACCGCCCTGCGCCCAGCGCGTGGGGCGGAGGGGGACGGGCTTCAGCCGCCGCCGCGCCCCCTGGCGGGCGGGAGGGTGCACTGCGAGGGGTTGGGGGGGGGGACACACGGGACAGGGAAGGAGCCTGTCCCCCTGACACGGAGACACCTTTGAAAGCGATTTCATCGTTAAAGGACATTAAAAATAAGAATTACGTCATTAATAAGAAGCAATTAATTAATAAGAAATAATTAATTAATAAGAATTTAAAAGGAGTCAGGACCGGTGAGAGCCACCCACACACCCCCAGTTCAGCCAGAGGCACCCAATAGCCCCTTACCCCGCTCCTCCAAGGGTTATCCAGCACAGCACCAAGCAGGGAGGCCAGCACATGGCAATATCATTAATAACATTCAATTAATTACATTGATTTACTTAATTTCATTAAAATTAATTAATTAAATTAATTATCCCTGCCCAGGCACAGCTCACACCAGTTCTGCAAACCACATCTTCCCCCTGAGTGCTGCCCCTTCCCCCTCCTCAGCAAGCCCAAAAATGGGACAAAATTCATAGAACCATAGAATGGTTTGGGTTGGAGAGGACCTTAGGATCATCCAGTTCCAACCCCCTGCCATGGGCAGGGACACCTCACACTAAACCATGGCACCCAAGGCTTTGTCCAACCTGGCCTTGAGCACCACCAGGGATGGAGCATTCACAACCTCCCTGGGCAACCCATTCCAGTGCCTCACCACCCTAACAGGAAAGAATTTCTTCCTTATATCCAATCTAAACTTCCCCTGTTTCAGTTTTAACCCATTACCCCTTGTCCTGTCACTACAGTCCCTAATGAAGAGTCCCTCCCCAGCATCCCTATAGACCCTCTTCAGATACTGGAAGCTGCTCTGAGGTCTCCACGCAGCTTCTCTTCTCCAGGCTGAACAGCCCCAACTTTCTCAGCCTGTCCTCATACAGGAGGTGCTCCAGCCCCTGATCATCCTCGTGGCCTCCTCTGGACTTGTTCCAACAGTTCCGTGTCCTTTTTGTGTTGAGGACACCAGAACTGCACACAATGCTCCAGGTGAGGTCTCACAGGAGCAGAGCAGAGGGGCAGGATCACCTCCTTCAACCTGCTGGTCACGCTCCTTTGGATGCAGCCCAGGATACGGTTGCTTTCTGGGCTGCAAGCACACACTGAAGCCGGCTCATGTTCATTTTCTCATCAACCAACACCCCCAAGTCCTTCTCCTTGGGCTGCTCTGAATCTCTTCTCTGCCCAACCTGTAGCTGTGCTGGGATTGCTCCCACCCAGGTGTAGGACCCTGCACTTGTCATGGTTAAACTCCATGAGGTTGGCATCAGCCCACCTCACAAGCGTGTCGAGGTCCCTCTGGATGGCATTCCTTCCCTCCAGGGTATCAACTCAACCACACAGCTCGGTGTCATCGGCAAACTTGCTGAGGGCGCACTCAATCCCACTGTCCATGTCAGCGACAAAGATGCTGAACCAGCCCGGTCCCAACACCCACCCCTGAGGGACACCACCTTTTTGGCTTCATACCAGCACAATGGCCAAAAACCTCTCGTTTTCTACCTTCCCAGGGGATGTTTAAGGCTCTGCTCACACCGGGAGCTCATCCATCACCACCCCCCTCTCCTGCAGCAGTCCCTTTGGGATGGGGCTGGATAAAGCAGAACCAAACGTATTTTGTCATTAAAAGTTTAAAGACATTTATTTAAAATACAACTTTATAAAACGTTTTCTTCACGGCGCATGGGGTTTGGGGGGGGGGGAGGGGGTGAAAACACACGTGGTACCGTGGTCATCCTCAGCGTTCCCGGGATGAAGGGGCTTCCCGCAGGAACGCCGCCGAGCCCTGCCCGCGGGCCGGCCGGCTCCTGGTCACCGGGATGGAGGAGCCGGGAGAGATCCGTGCTGGAAAAGGAGGTTTTGGTGCTGGAGATGGAGATTTCAGTGCCGAGATGGGAGGTCCGGGTGCTGGAAATGGAGATTCCGGTGATGGAGCTTGGAGGGGGGGGGGGGTTCAGTGCCGGAGATGGGATGTTTTGGAGGCAGCGACTTTAACACTGATCAGCTACACCAAACCCCACTGGATTTGGGGCTATTCAAAGCTATTTTGGGTAATCATTAAGGAAAGGCGCGGTGACTGCGGTTATTGCTGATGTCTTTCCCCTCTCCCGCTCCCCCCAGGGCCTCAGCCTGACATTGGGAGGGGATAAACATTAGGACCCCCCCCCCCCAAAACATGGGGATACCCAGGGGATCCCTGCCCACCACCCCCTCACCACCATCCTCAGTGCTTGAATGAGCCCATTAATGCTCTAACGGGGTCATTGAGACACAGGTAGGTTTATTTGACCGTCTGGGGTTGGGGTGAACACGTCTGTGGGTGTCCAGGCACTTCCCTGCGCGTGGAGGACACCGGGATTCACTCCTTTACCCCTGAACCTACTGAGCACGAAGCGGCACAATCATGCGCCCAGAACCAGCAATGGTTTTCCAGGTCCCATCCCCTCCAGGACGAGCACTTAGTGTTCATCTCATCCCTCAATATTAAGGTAGGTCAGCTTCATCCAGGGGGGCAATATCCACGTTTTCACCATCACCAGCCTCCCCGTCATCCTCCCGGGAGCTGGAGGAGGAATATCGCTTCCCAGCAGCCGCCGGTACGATGGTGGGAATCATCCAGACTTTATCCAGCGCTGGGTTTCTTCCCTGATGTGATTCCAGGAGGGAAACGCAGCTCGTACCGTGACCATCCGTGACACTCGGAGTCAGCGCCATGGGACACCCCATTCCCTGGCCACACGACAAGCCTCATTCCACGGACCACAGCAGCACCTTCTCCTCCGTGCAATGGATTCCTAATCCTTCACCTCCCGGTGCTCTCAGCCAGGTGGGAAGCGTTTTCCTGGGATGGGGGCATGCTCCCTGCTCCCCAAATACAAAAAAGAAAGCAAAAAAAACAACCAAAAAAGAAGATGATTTGAAGCTTTTCCTCAAAGCCAGCAGAAAACACCAGCCAAGCTCTACCAGGAGCAGGATGTAAACTCGGTCATCGGGCTCCAACAGCTCCCAAAGGTGGGAATCTGGAGCCTGCACCCCCTGTGCTTGGCAGAAGTGGAAATGGAGAAGGAGAAGCAAGCAGCTGCCAAAGGCGAGCTGGGAAAAGCTGCAGCAATTCACTGAAATTCCTTGTTGGAAGCTTACCTCCCTCTCACAATGAACCCCAAGAGCTCAAACCCATCCCATGTGCTCCGCCAAACAGACAGCAAAGAGGACATGAAATAAAGAGAGATCCTTGGAACCAGAACTTGTTCCTAAGGCGATGAGGACAACACGTGCGTCTGGGGAGCATTCCCAGGGGTTTTGCTTCCTTAAATCCCGGGTGACGAGGACGACAAACGTTATTGCTGGCGCTAGCTGCAGCCCAAGCACCGCGCCCGCGGCTCCCTGCACCCATCTGAGTCCTTTAACCCCCCCCCTTGTCGTCCCGGCCATGCGGGGACAGCCCTTCGCCGTCTGTGGGTCACAGTGGGTGGCGAGGGGAGGTCACAGTGCGTGGGGATGAAGGTCACAGTGGGCAGAGCAAAGGGGATCACAGTGCAAAGAACCCGGGGAGTTCCCTTTGCTCAAGTCCGACGCAGGGCAGCGGGCGCTGCCTCCCGCAGCAGCATCTCCCTCCTGCCCGCCTCTATCTGCGCTGCTTGAAGCCTTGGGAGCCGTCAGGACCCAGGGGTTGCCTAATCACATTGTTGGGCTGCCTGGTGTCTTCTGGCTGGGAAATCCTCGGGGGCCTGCAAGGAGAGAGGAGGTCAGAGGAGGAGGTTGGATCTGGTGATCCCTGAGGTCCCTTCCAGCCTGGGATGCTGTGATCCTGCACCCGCCTCGGTGGGGAGCCACCACCACAGAACAATCGGTGCGCATCACTCCCTGGGACAAGGAATGTGGCCCAACCCAAACCAGCACTTAGGTTTCTATCCAGAGAACTCACAGCACAATGCCTCCAAGTGACCTGTGTGCAGTAAAGAGCATTCACACCCTCCCTTCTGCATGTGGTGGTTTCCTCAAGTCTAAACCCTCAGGGCAGATAAAGAAATGTCCTGCTGGGATAACCCAGGAAGAGTCGTCCCCCCCCGTGTGCTGGGCTGCACCCCCAGAGTGTGAGCAGCAGCTCAGGGAGGGGATCCTGCCCCTCTGCTCTGCTCTGGGGAGACCCCCCCTGCAGCCCTGATCCAGCTCTGGGGCAGCAGCACAAGAGGGACGTGGAGCTGCTGGAGCGAGGCCAGAGGAGGCCATGGAGATGCTGCGAGGGCTGGAGCAGCTCTGCTCTGGAGCCAGGCTGAGAGAGCTGGGCTGGGGCAGCCTGGAGAAGAGAAGGCTCCTGAAGGGGAGACCTGAGAGCAGCTCCAGTGCCTGAAGGGGCTGCAGGAAACCTGGAGAGGGGCTTGGGACAAGGGATGTAGGGACAGGCCAAGGGGAATGGCTTGAACCTGCCAGAGGGGAGACTGAGATGAGCTCTTAGGCAGAAGCTCTTCCCTGTGAGGGTGCTGAAGCGCTGGCACAGGGTGCCCAGAGAAGCTGTGGCTGCCCCATCCCTGGCAGTGTTCAAGGCCAGGTTGGACACAGGGGCTTGGAGCAAGCTGCTCTAGTGGAAGGGGTCCCTGCCCATGGCAGGGGTTGGAGCTGGAGGAGCTTTAAGGTCCCTTCAACCCAAACCAGGCTGGGATTCTGTGAACCCTAGTTGTCCACACACCTCTCTTTCCCCCCCTCATGCTCTTCCAGGGATCAAAGATCACCTGAACAGCCACATCAGGCACTTCCCTGAAGTCCCATCTATTTGAGGTTCAGGCCTCCCTGCTTGCTCACAAAGCAACGCCTTCTCCTCGATGGCCTCACTTTGCTCTCCAAGGAGCTGTTCAGGGAGCTGGCTCGCACGGAGCACACAGGGAGCTGCTCTCACCTATCCAGGATGGGTTTCTCCTGCTCTTCTTCGGGGCTGGCGCTGCCCAATATTCGCTTCCTGGCTTCCGCGTACTCCGCTTCCCGCTGCGCCAAGGATTTCACCGGGAAGGCCGGCCTGCTGGCGGAGTTGGGATTGCTGAGCACGCCGTTGGTGGTCGGCCTCTTGAGGATGCGGATCTGGGGGGGAGGCCCTGCGGGGAGGCTGTCGTCCTGAATCACGATCGGCACTTTAGGAGGGGATTTGGACTTTCTGCTGGTGGAAAGGCAGAAACAGGAGGTTGGTTCTGGTTCCCGAGCGGGTTCTCCTGCTCTCCATGGGAATTCCTGCCTGTCGGATGTCATCCTGTGATTAAGAGGCAGCCTGTGATAATTAAAGACCCTGCTATGTTTGTAACCCTAAACTAGAGCTCAGCAGGGATGGAAAATCAGTCCCTTCTGCCTTCCACATCTTCAAGCGAAGGGAAGCAGACCCTGGGCTGAAGGTTTAGTGGTTCTACGTGTAGATACTGGTATCAGCACCATGATCCCATTCCCTGTTAGGGCTGCCCTCACCAGGACACTCAGCCCAAGCTGTCATTTCACACCTCAGAGCCAGCCTCGGTCCCTGTCACCATCTGCCTTGCTCTTATGGTCCCTTCTCCTTAAGTGACTCCTTAAGTGGCCTCCCAGGAATCAAAGGGGTGAAAATGAATCCACCACAACAAAAGACTTGTCAGAAGTGATTACAAACAGGCTGTAACACCCACCCCCCATCCCAACCCAACCCAAAGGAAGCAGGAAGAGAGAGTCTCACTGATGCAAGACCTGTCAAGCCAACCCAGGGCCGGGAGCTGGGATTACCTGACTCACCCTCAGTGTCTCTTTCTTACCTGGCTTCTCCAGGGCTGCAGCTACAGCCAGCCTGGAAGACCCAGCTCTGAAATAAGCTCACTCCAAGCAGCTTTCCACTCCCCCGTTATGGATCGAAAGGGCCATCTAGTGGCACGAGCACGGAATTCCCTGGTTCTGACCTCGGAACTCGGCTGGTTCTCCTGTCGGAAGCCGTTTCCCTGCTGTCCCCTCTCCCCAGAGCTCAGGAATAGAACGCTGGGTTTTAAACCAAGCCGTGCAGCACCATTACCTTTCCTTCTGTGTGATCTTCAGCTTCTTCTCCAACCGTCTGTCTATCTCCTAGAAAGGAAGAAGATGAAAGATGAAGATGAAAGAAAGGAAGGAAGAAGATGAAAACCTGAAGGCTCATCTCAAGAATTGGAGCTTAAGTCTGTCTGCACCCATATTTCATTCCACTTTACAGTGAAACCATAAAGGGGGCACAAACAGAGTGCGTGTCTCCACCTGAGGATGACTTGCAAATCAAGAGGTAGACAAGAGCCAAGCCACCACCTACATCCATAGCCATTAATACACCTCCAGCAGGCTGTGAGTCTTGTGTGTCACGGCGCGAGGGCAGCCGCAGGGCACTCATGGCTCACTGTAAGCACTTCAGCTGGCAGGACAGCTCTATCGAGGGTGAGGAGCCATGGGAGCACACAGGGAGGTATGCCCGGATCCGAGCGGGAGCTGGCACCAAACCTCTGGGGCAGAGCAGCAGCAGCAGCAGCAGCAGGCGCCGGCCGGGGCGATGCACATCCTTCTGTGTGCCCGATTTCAGCCCCGCAGCCTGCAGCCATCCGGAGGCCTGGCCGGCAGGGCCACATTCCTGCTGCAATGAGCCCTCCTTCCCAAACCCTGCCCTGCCCTGCCCCGGTGCACCCGAGCAGGAGAGCGCAGCTGAGCCTCCTTGTGCTTCTCCCCTCTGCACCATGGCTGCAGAGTCACCCATGGGCACAAAGACATTGCACAGACCCCCAGTGCCAACCGAGCGTGGCTCTGAGCATGTCAGCTTCTGTGCCAAGCTTCCCAAAGGTGTCCGTGTTTTGCAACTGGAGCAATCCCGCAGGGACTCTTGGCTAACCAGGAGAACAAAGCCAGCTACCAGGATCCTCACTGATGCACTGATGTGTTTAACCATCAATGGAAAGGGGAACAAAGCCACCTGAGAGCGTCCCAGTTGCACAAGCTGATAACTGGCAATACTGCAGGAATTCCAAGCTCCCGGCAGGATGCAGCTGCTCCACTTTTGGGGCTGGTTTGCTCAACTGCACTGTGAGCTCCCTGCCCTGCTGTCAGAAACCACAACAGGCACAACCCAGGGAAGAAACTGGTTTGCACAGTAATTCCCTGCTGCCCCAATAAGCAGGGAATGAACACAAGTCACAACAAGGTGCCAAACCACAGAGCTTGTGCTTGGTGACGTAGCCCAGAACCCCCCCCCGTGTGCTGGGCTGCACCCCCAGAGCGTGAGCAGCAGCTCAGGGAGGGGATCCTGCCCCTCTGCTGTGCTCTGGGGAGACCCCCCCTGCAGCCCTGATCCAGCTCTGGGGCTGCACAGGGGGTCTCCGGGCACAAGAGGGACCTGGAGCTGCTGGAGCGAGGCCAGAGGAGGCCATGGAGATGCTGCGAGGGCTGGAGCAGCTCTGCTCTGGAGCCAGGCTGAGAGAGCTGGGCTGGGGCAGCCTGGAGAAGAGAAGGCTCCTGAAGGGGAGACCTGAGAGCAGCTCCAGTGCCTGAAGGGGCTGCAGGAAAGCTGGAGAGGGGCTTGGGACAAGGGATGTAGGGACAGGCCAAGGGGAATGGCTTTAACCTGCCCGAGGGGAGACTGAGATGAGCTCTTAGGCAGAAGCTCTTCCCTGTGAGGGTGCTGAGGCGCTGGCACAGGGTGCCCAGAGAAGCTGTGGCTGCCCCATCCCTGGCAGTGTTCAAGGCCAGGTTGGACACAGGGGCTTGGAGCAAGCTGCTCTAGTGGAAGGGGTCCCTGCCTGTGGCAGGGGTTGGAACTGCTTGAGCTTCAGGTCCCTTCCAGCACAAACCAGGCTGGGATTCTCTGGCTCTAAGCAGTCAGCATCCCAAAGGAACCTCCACTTTCCACTTAGGATGAAATAACTGTAAGTGCTTTAGGCAGACAAAAGGCAGGAGGTTGAATTTTCTCCCAGTCTCTGTACTGGAAGGTGATGAGTGATGTGCCAGAACAAAACCAGGGACTGGAAGCCAGGTTATGGCTAGAGCCTCCCATCAAGGGCACATGAAGCTGTCGGCTCCTTCCTCTTCACTGGGGGCAAAATCCCACCCCAGTGCTGCTTGGGAGGATGGAACGAAATGTGCAGCAGCTGCTTCCCACCTGCAAAGGCCAAGGATCAGCAAGCAGGGAAATGGATATCCCTGCAAGGATGGAGACCTCATAGAGCAGCTGCCGGCAAACAATGACAGTCAAACTAAGGGGAAGGGGTTTCTCATGTGCCCAAACCAGGTGAGGCCGTATCCTGCTGGTGAAGAGTGCTTAAAGCACTTTTTCCAACTCAAACAGCTCACCACACCTCTCTGGGGCACCTGGAAGCAGTGACCTGGAAGGAACATCCTTAAACATCCTTCATTAAAGCCTTCAGCAGAGGAGAGGGATGACAGGAAGATGATGCAGGGTGGGGAAAGCACCTTCAAGAGTCATGGTGCTGAACCACACAAGACAAGCTCAGCAACCCATGGTGAGGCCCATGGGGCACAGACCTGGCAAGGAAGGCTCTGTCTGTGCTCTCCTCCCTGGCACAGGAGCTGGGTTTGACAAACGCCGCACTCCCACATGCCTGGTGGCTCTGCAGGTCCGTCCTGGGGCTCAAGTCCTGGTCCATGTGCTGGACTATGAGATCCTGCAATTGCACAGCCTTGGATCGACCTCTTGGATCGACCTGAGTGGGTGACAAACACCTGATTAATGGGCCTGTCACTGGGCTGAGCAGCTCTGCACACCCTCACACACACACACACAGACATCCTCTGACGCCAGAGCCTGCAGCTTCCCCTGCCAGAAACAGAGTCCTCTGCTTTGCTTAACACACACAAACGTATCCCAAGGAATCCTCCAAGACCTGTGTTTGGGACACACTGCTCCCCAAAACAATTCCTGTCCACGTCTGTTTGACTCCTGTGCAGATAACTGCCGGCAAAACACCTGGTATTTTGTCTCTCATCATAGAATCCCAGCCTGGTTTGTGTTGGAAGGGACCTTAAAGCTCCTCCAGCCCCTGCCATGGGCAGGGACCCCTTCCACTAGAGCAGCTTGCTCCAAGCCCCTGTGTCCAACCTGGCCTTGAACACTGCCAGGGATGGGGCAGCCACAGCTTCTCTGGGCACCCTGTGCCAGTGCCTCAGCACCCTCACAGGGAAGAGCTTCTGCCTTATCTCCAACCTGAACTTCCCATTTCAGTTTGAACCCATCACCCCTTGTCCTATCACTACAGTCCCTGATGAAGAGTCCCTCTCCAGCATCCTTGCAGCCCCCTTCAGACACTGGAAGCTGCTCTGAGGTCTCCACATCCCTCCACAGCTGTCAGTGGTCACCAAGTGCTGTTCACCAGCCACCACACACCGGCTCCTCACCCAAGAGCAAAGTAAAGCGCAGCTAAACCATTCCAAGTCCAACATCAGCCCAGAGCCACGATGTGCTCTGCTTCCTCCACACATAAAGATCCTGGCAGAACAGCATCAACCAGCCATCACCCCCAATACACACGTCACTTCACCCCAGCCACATTAGCCTCACACGATGCTGTGCTGCTGAGAGGATTCCAGCTGCCTCCATTGGGTACAAAGAGCCTCCCTTTGCGTGCAGAGGCTGGTGTGATAACAGCAGCTCCCTCCTCACATGCACCTCTTGATGTGTTCAGTGTTGTGTTCTCTGAAATGCAGGGCTTGGCCCTGTTTGCCCTCAGCAAGAGTCAAGCTCTGGGTGTTGAAAACACGACTGTGTCTGAAGCGGAGGCGTTTGGATGTGGAGAGCATCCCAGATGCAGGCAGGCAGCCCTGACGCTGCCACACCAAGCCCCACACATGGATCACGCTGCACGAAGCCGAGCAGCAGAACCACCTTGACACGGCTCATTCCTAATGAAGAAGCACGCCAACATTCCCTGCCCCTGCTCCATGGGGAGGTGTTTGCCTCCTGATGTCATTCCCTGTCCACTGCTGTGTCACGCTGCCACAAGGCTGGGTGGTAATGAGATAAAATTAGGCCCTGACGTGCAGGGTGAATGCCAGGAGCACTACAACAACCCAAAGGCACGAGCCTGCAGCAGAGGCCACCAGAGCTGGCACCCCGGGGCATCACGCTGCACATTCCCAGATCCCAAACCCAGGCATGAATCTCCTTAGGAAGCTCTCCTGGCTTTTATTTCCCAAATCAACTTCTATCTATACCCACCCACCCCCCCTTATTTCTATACTTTCCACCCCCTGGTTCAAACCACCCGCCCCAAGGATTAGCAAAGAATCTCAGCAAACTATTTTTAGGGCTATTATGTCTGGGGACTAAAAAGGACCCAAACACACACACAGAGCATGAAGAAGACACTGTTCTTTGACATTTAAGCTGCATTTGTAGGTGAGAACGTCATGGAAACAACTCCAGCCCCATCCCAGCCATCCTTCCAAGCCTTTAACCCCAGGACAAACAGCAATGCATACAAGGATTGACAGAATACCTCCAGAAGGCCGTTGGACAGGGACCAACACACAAACCTGCTGCACAGACCCATCCCAAGGAAGAACCCCACCATCACAGAGGATAGCTCAGTGATGTTATGGGTACTTGGAGACCGATGCTGCCCCCGACACCCCTGAAATGTGCCCTTCAGGAGGGGTGCCCCCATGGATCATGTAGGGTTTAGGCACATTCCCAAGGAAACCCAGTTTTCCAGAGTATTGCAAAGCACAGGGAGAGGCTGGAGTCAGCCCTAATGTGGCTGGAAGAACTTTGTTGGAGTAACTGTAATGCATTAGATATGTCTATGGAATTATCCTTCCCATCCCTGCCAACAGGGACTCTGAACAGACTCAACTCCAGCTCTGGTGGAGCAGGGGAAGGGATAACAACATAGTGCTGGGGTTCATTTCCAGTTCAGTGAGTAACCAGGACTGAATGTCTGAAGGGAAGCAGAGGTTTGGGCTTTACAGCAACCCCTCCTGCCAGGAGGACAATTCCTCTCCACCTCCCAGATAAGGTGACTGCAGGAATCCAGGAGACAGCCACCAGGACAGTCATGGATACAGGAATCTCTCCTAGATAGGTGATAACATGTCAC